ACCCTGTTCCTCATTTATCTAGTTGGAGGTTGTGATGTCCTGTAATAAACATTCTGTCTGGTCATTCAAAAGTTTTTTTTGTTTACAAGGTCTGGGACACAGATTCATAAGAGAGTGTAACAAAGTGTAACTAAAGAATAAAGGTTTTAAATGTCAATGTAGAAATTTCTTATAGAGATAATATTTCCAAAAGAGAATATGAAGTGCCTTCTTTGTAAATTAACTATTAACATTTATTTGAAGCGACCATTGTCTTTGGGACATTAATTTATCTGAGAGATAATCCTCTGGATTTAAATAACTAGGTCCTAGGAATACGATAATCACTAAGACACACACACACACACACACACACACACACACACACACACACACGCTGCTCAGGTGGAGACACATCCAGAAAAAAGTGGAACTCTATGGTGACAAGTTGTAATACTTAAAGATACATCCACCATAGCAGGGCAATTATCAGGTCTCCATTAGTATCTCTATGTAGAAAATCCTCAGATCTATATATTCAGCCTTAGACTCATTGCTTCACTCTGGTATAACTACCTATCTATTGGGACACTTAAACTAGATGTCCTAAAGGCCTATCAAGTTCCCCATGTCTAAAACACAACTAATTATCTTTACTCCAAACCATCTCTTCTTCCCAACTCTCCCATTACTGCTAAGGGTACCACCATCCTCCCATTCACTCAGACCTACAAACTAGGAGTCACCCTTCACTCACACTCACTCCCCAGGTTCAATGAGTTGCCCAGTCTCATCATTTCTACCACCAGGACAGCTCTCACGTACGTCTCCTCCTCACTAACATAAGCCAAGCTAGTGTACTAACCCTTATCACGTCACCTCCTGGATTATTATAAAAGTCTGCTGGCTCATTTTCCAGCCTCAAGTCTCTCCCAATTCTAATCCATCCATCTTTCACTCAGTTGTCAAAATGACTTTCCTACAAGCAAAGCTCTGGCCGTATCATCCCTCTTGGTAACAAACCCCAGAAGTTCCATCTTACCACCAGGTTCAAATATAAAGTGTTTCTGCTGGCATTTTGCTGGCCCTTCAAACCTGGTCCCTTCTTACCTTCCCAGTCTCCTAACATTGCCTCACCTCCACACATTCTACAATCCGGTCACAAGGGCCCACTTGTAGTGCCTCCATCTCCTAATCTGCCTTTTCACTGGCTGCTCCACACGCCTAGAATATGTTCCCTCCTCACCGCTATCTTAGTTTCCCTGCTTTGCTTCAAGACTGAGCTTGAATCACATCTTCTGCAGGAGGAGCCAATAACCAGTGACTTCCCTACCAACATCACCTCTCATCTACTCTGAATATATCTTGAATGAACGTTGTTGTTTTCAGAGTGTCTCCCTCATTAGCCTGTTACTTCCTTGACAGCAAGGAAAATGTTTTTGTCTTTCTTCCCCAGCCCTCTCCCCCTTCCCCCAGCATTCAGCAAAGTTCCTGGCATAGAGTTAGTGCTTAATGAACGTGTGTTGACTAACTTAATGAACGTGTAGATACAGGAAAAGAAATCACTCTGTAAAAGCTCGTCTTATGTAAAATTCACTGTATTTCCATCACAAGGTAAGAGGGTAGGAATTATTTTATATTTTTTCAGAAAAACTGCTTAGAAATACTAACTATAGCAAAAAGAAACTATTTTGCTTTCTGTGCTACTGTGAAATTAAACACATTTACAAATGTGTTTGTACAAAAAACAGCAGGACAAAACTGATAAGAAGACCATATAACTGTCACCTTAACAACAAGGGCCCAGATAGCTGAAAAGTTTGAATGACTCACTTATTTGAACCGTATATCACTTTAATCCTGTTATCAGGCCAGGATAATTCTTGGCCAAAGAACTGCTCTCCATTATTCCACTTTCACTGCAGACTATAAATTGTCCATCTTTAATGGTATAAATTATATTTAGAACTTCCTTCTCCTTTCTCTCCCCCCTTGCCTTGGTCCCCTTCCTTCTTCCCCTCCTGCATAAAGACAAAAGCAGTTTGACTTAAATTTTATACAATAACATACACAACACCCAATTCTCTAGAGGTCTTTGCATTTTCTTCCCTGTGAACAAAGGCCCAAATTTTAAAAATTTATACATTATACATTACACACACGTGTGTGTGTGTGTGTGTGTGTGTGTGTGTGTGTAGGTATATGTAGATATAGATATAAAAACTTTTTCAATGTACTTGGTTTTCTCCAAAGTCCTACTGTATTTTATTTTATGTATTTAAAATTATTTTTGTTAGGAGTCTGTAGGCTTCACCAGACCACCAAAGGGGTCCAGAACACACACAAAAAGATTAAGAGCCATTCTCTAAAGGAATGGAATCTTTTTGTCTTAAAACAAGGTTTAGAGAAAAAAGAAATATCTCCCTTGCCTAACTGAAGGAACAGTCTGGGCATCAAAACACATACAAGCACTTTCATATAAACACTTCTTCTCATTTGCCTTTTGACATGGAACATAAACAGGAGAGGTATTTTTATTTATGTAAAGTCTGATACACTTGGAGAGCCTCCTGAGAGAGAGCTCTCAGGCCGGGCATGTCTCAAGAGAAGAAGTGGCTGCTGTCAGGCACAGCATCCTAAAGGAGACAAGTGTTCTTCTAAGCAGAGCAAACAAGATACGTGCAGGGCACGCAACCTAACAGGAGTCCAAACCAAGCTCTAAGAATTTCTATTTTGTTTACATTGATAAGGCTTCTTAAAATCAAGGATTAAACATAGGCAGTGCTGGAGGTAAGGGAGATTAGTTAGAAAGACAGAACATAAAGTTAGGTTTCAGATAATGATTCCCTCTGCCTGACCTCAATGAAGACGTGGCAAGGGCACAGGGTGGGGAATGGAAGGAAGAAAGGACAACTAGGGAACTTCTTAGTTTGGGATACCAGTAATACGTGAGCCAATGATCTCCACAAGGTCACAGCTGGAAGAGACCTTAAAGGCCATCCAGTCCAGGACTTCTTAAACTGTGACCCATATAGGGGTGGCAAAAAATTTGGCAAGAGTAAAAGGTCTCTGAACGCACAAAGACCAAAAATCAATTAAAAATCAAACGCATAACGAATCCATGGTGTTTCTGATAGCGCTTGCCCCATGTTGCATCATACAACTTCACTGCAGCCTTGGATCTGAACACAAAGCACGTGCACTTTGCACAGGGCATAACCTCAGGCCACACAACACCAACGAAAATGCAAAAAGAGGATGCGAGTGGAAAACATTTAAGAAGCCCTGATCTAGTCTAATCTCCTTATTTTATAGATGGGAAAACTGAACTCTTCCCTTTCCACTATCCACCTCCACAGGAGGCTGAGTGACTTACCCAAGGTCAAGGAAGCATCACAGGCAAGATTCAACCCCAAATTCTCTGACTCCATAGTCATTGTGCTTCCCCCTGTACTCATTTTACCATCAAATTTAGGGGAGTCCGTCAGATTTCTGTATCAGCAACTGCAAAGTCTTGTGTAATTCATTATTTGCATTTTCAACTTGTGCTAACTTTTCAAAAATTAAAACGAGTAATTTTTCTTCATTATTTCAGTTTTCAAAAACAGTCATTTAGAGCAGCCCCATGTCTCAGCCACAAATAAGCCTGTTGTTTCTTCCTGCCAAATACTGGCTGAGGGGAAAAAAAAGTCTTTTTTCATGAAATTACTTCGATAAAGCCTTAGGGCTACATACTACCTCAGATCTACAAATGGAATTCCAACTTTAGCCAAAAAGGAATTTAGTAGGCACCTTGAAGATAGAGTGTAATTAATGTAGTTCTCTTCTTTCCAAGCACCAGCCAAGAGCTCCTGGAGCCAACACTTGTCTGGTCCCGAGAGAATTGTCCCAGTTGGCCAAACTCTCTCTGACCCTGGCCAATCACAAGTTTTCAGGCTCTAATTGATTCTAGCTCCCATCCTGTCTGCCCACATTAACCATGACAGAAAAACAAATCAAGCCTAGAACATCTAAAAACAGGTATATCATGGAGCCCCAATGTTAAACTGATACACCATTAATACAAGGGCCTCCAGTGTCATTCAATAAGCTAAAAAGTTTGGAGTACAGCAAAGGGTTCTAGAAATATTGCATTACCACTGCCAACAGATGTGTGTATGTGTTTTTCATTTTAAAAAAATGTAAGTGGATTGGACAGCAAAGAATGGTGGCATATTCCGTGTGCATGTGGGGGGGGAGGGCTGCGCACGTGCAAGCACGTACAGTGATTGAGAGTGTTCACTTAGGGCAGGCAGGTGGTGCAGTGGACAGAGCACTGGGCCTGAAGTGAGGAGGACCTGAGTTTAAATCCAGCCTCAGACACACAACACTTACTAGCTGTGTGACCCTTGATTCATACTTGGTTCATACTTGATTCAAACAAACAAACAGCCTTCGAATGAAGGAATACACAAAGAGATTTTTTTAAAATGGTATTTATGATATCATACATTTGCATTCACTTTTAATTTTTCAATGAAAGCTCACTTAATCCTTAGTGCAGTCTATGAGTTAAGCAGAATAGAAACTATTATCCTATTTAAAAGAAAGTGAGACACAAAGAAATAACTAGTTAGTTAGTGACAGAGTTGAGACTGGAAACCAGGTCTTTTAATTCCTAGGCCTTCGGAGGCACCAGACCACAGCACCTCCCAAAGGCCATATTGCTCATCAAGAACAGTCTGATTATCGATGGAAAACTAACCTTCTCCCCATGATGAAAGAATCAGTAAAGGTTTCAAATGGACACCTCTATGTGTAAGGAGCGTTAACATCCAGATCGTTAATGCCTGATTAAGCTGAGAGCTCTGAGTATCAATTCGGCAGCAAGTATAGAAGGTCTTGGGCCTCTAGGTAATTAGGTTTTTGACTCAAGTTTACAACTTCTATTTTTATTACGTCAATAAAACGCTATTGCAAATGTTAATACCTAACTATGGGAGAGTGGTCTTTTGACTGACCACAGCTCCTAAATACTCTACCTTTTTCCTCTGTGACATGGTGAAGAAATGGTCTGAGCTTGGCACACTGCAGCAGCATGGAACAGCTAGGAAACTCTGCATCTATCACAACCTGATCCAGTGGCTGAAACTTCCCTTGCTGAGAAAAAGATACATCAATGGGAAAACATGCATTACTGTCAACAAACAACCCTTCTCTCTCCCCAAAGAGGAGGAGAAAAATAATGATAATAAATTGTATTACTTTATGGCTGGCAGCCTTAAACCAAGGAGGCAAAGAGCCAGAGGTGCCACATAATGAATCTATAAATTGATTCCAGACTAACTATAAATAAAGCATTTTAAACACTATCTGCTTATGAAACACTATGACATAAAATCAACCTACACAAAGTTACGCTATGCTCAAAAAATATAGAAACTCACTCAAAATAGGGGTGGAATGATGAAAGGGACTGGGGCAAGGAGGGAGTGGAGGTAGAGAGGAAGGAGCTGCTTTGGAGTGTGACCGAGGGCTGGTTTACACTAGGGAATTTCTGCCCATTGCTTTCTACACCCACAACCTGCTGGAGGCAGGCCAACATCAGAACTTTCATTTGAATTCTGATTCCCCAGAATCCCAACTCCTTTTCCATAAAGAGCCCCAAAGGACGAAAGTGGCTTATGAGAATATAGCCCTGACTTTTCACCTCTGGGAAGTCAGTTCCAGTTCAGCCTGATGTCCTAAATGGAGTGTTTTTGGCACAGCCCAGTCAGCGCTGGGAAGAGCAGGGCTCTCAAGCCGCCTCCTGATTCTGCCGGGTATCCAAACTCAGGACTACACAATACAACTCGCACACCAACTACAATGCCTTCCCTTGCAGGAAAATTTCCAGGTGCATGCTGTCTCTGTTGGGACCCCAATGTCTCTTGACTAAATAGGATGTCAAAATCTCTTTAGGCAGAGCATGCAGAATCACAGAGAAATAATAGAGTTGGGATACATTTTTAGATCTGATCCCTAATCTCACAAAGAAAGGAACTAAGGTCCAGAAAAACCGTGTGACTTGCTCCCACTCACAATCAGTTCGGAGCAGAGTCAAGACTAAAGCCTAGGTTTTCTTATTCACAGTATACCAAGATAACACCAAAATCAGCCATTCTTAAAAAAAAAAAGATTATTACAGGAAGAAGATATCACCATTACATACAAATACATAAATTTACTTTAAATGTAAAGAATATAATTAAAAGGGGGGCATCTAAGTGGTGCAGTGGATAGATTACTGGGCCTGGAGTCAGGAAGACTCATTTCATGAGCTTAAACCTCATCTCAGACACTTACTAGCTATGTGACCCTGGGCAAGTCACTTCATCCCATTTACCTGTAAAATGTGCTAGAAAAGGAAACGGCAAACAACTCCAGTATCTTTGCCAAGAAACCCCAAATAGAATCACAAAGTCAGACATGACTAAAAAAACAAATAAACAACAACTGAATAATTAAAAGAAAACAAAAGAAGATTAAAAAGGTAAGCATAGTGCAGGGCCAGTCATATGAAAATCAGGCTTGTGGAGATGTATTTATATGTCCTAATATCCACAGACCCAGAGACTTGGTCTGAAGTTAGATACACAGACCCTCAAGACATCATCCCTTCTGAACTGGTTTCCATTTCCCCCCACTTTACTAACATGACAAGATACATGAAGTAGGCCAAGATCAATACTGGACTTGTGAGCATCTGTGGCAGCCACCAGGCTTCGAAGAAGCAGTGGGGTTTTCCATCCACCACATCCCCCTTTCCCTCTTGCTCTCTATTTCTGTTTTAAGAACAATTTCTTTTGAACCCTGAGATGCCGTTTTCCATTCTCTTCTGCTGGACAGAAATATTAACTTAGGACTTCAATGGGTTGAAACAGGAATGCTTATTGACCCCTCTGTTCACCAGGGGAAGGGGTTTTCTCAGATTTCGTGTTGTGAAGAACAGAGCTTGGAAATGCCTTGGACTCAATGTCCTTCTTGTCACTCAAGTGGAAAGTCTGGTTCTCAGAGGGCCAAAATCTTAAGGCGACTGGATTTCTATTCCAAGATCACTCATGGCTTTACATTTTGTTAGAATTAGCTAGAATTCTGAATACCAGACGACTAGAAGTCATGTGTGTACATATGTGGCCTACCACAGGTCAGGGTTGGAATACAATGCTATAATTAACTAATTTGTTCACTCTTATTTCCTTTACCAAAAAAAAATTTTTTAACGTGAGAATTTGCTAATGTTTTGGATATAACATTAGCTACACTTGGGACTGCTGTGAAGAAAAGAGTTATTTTCACTTATGTCAAAATAATTTCTGCAATAGAAAATTAAAGGTTAACATTAGAAAAGATCCTTATCACATTTGGAACTAACCCCTAACAAATGGGAAAAAAGTTACAAACTGAAGACATTGTCTAAGAACCATTTTAAGTCTAAAACAAAATCAATACTTTCTACTATGAACTACAAACATTTTTGCTAAAGGACTATCAAGTAAAGATGGCTTGGGAGAGTGTTACTAGATAAAAATGAATGCACTTTTGGCACCTTCCATTTCATGTAACAAAAACAGAAAGAATACATTTTAAAGATGGGGAAAAGAGTAAGCATTTCTAGAATGCCTACTACGTGGCAGGTACTATTCTAACTGCTTTTTACAAATATTATCTCATTTGATCCTCACAATACCCCTAGACTGGTGCTCTTACTATCCCCATTTTACAACTGTGGAAACTGAGGCAAGGAGAAAGTAAATAATTTTCCCAGGGTCACATAACTAGTAAATGTTTGAGGCTGAATGTGAATTCACTGACTACAGGCCCAGTACTCTAAGCACTGTGTCATGAGCTGCCTCTTTTTAAAGGTCATGAAAGCCAGAGGTCTTTAGTGGTTTTCAAACTTAATTCATATTATTTGGCTCACCTGAAATTTCCATTTTCTCCCTAAGTACAGCTTAGGGCCATGGCCTCCTGTATAGCAGAAAAGCATCTTCCTCCCGTCACTGCTTACCTGTCCTAATCCCAAAAGCTAACTGTTACCTATCACATCAGGAGAAACATGACAGTTGTATAGTAAAACCTCACTATTTCAGCCTAACTGGGGAATGTGAAGAAAGGGAAAGGAGAAACGGAAGGGGAATTTATTACTTTCCAAGTGGTTTCTACTAAATCCTAAAAAGTAAAGAAAGCCCTAAGGAGAAAGTAATGTTTTAATAAAGAGCTAGAACTCACTTTCAAACATATTAATTACACTTAAATAATAATAAAAAAAAGATACAACTTAGGGGCAGCTAGGTGGTGCAATGGATAGAGCACTGGCCCTGAAGTCAGGAGGACCTGAGTTCAAATATGCTCTCAGACAAGATACTTGACACTTACTAGCTGTGTGACCCTGGGCAAGTAACTTAACCCCAATTGCCTCACTTAAATAAAAAAAAAAAAGATACAACAAATACATTAATTGTTCACACCTAAAGTACCCCAAAACATTTTGTCCTCTTGAGAAGTTACAATTTTGGTAAGATAATTAGCTGGTTTTTGAAAGCCTCTTCTTTGATGAAAAAAAGAAAATGTCAGTTCAGCCTTGACTGAAAGATCCACAAATGCCAATGAGTGTGACCCCAACCAAAGGGGTTTTTGAATACAAGTGTCAGTTAAGGTATCCCACCTCTCTAAATGCCTTCTGAAACTCCATTCCTTCTACTGACTTCCAGAGTGTTTGAGGCACAGGTGAGAAAGTGAGTTTCTCTTTTCCTTGCTGAATTCTCCCCAAGGATGCTGTTATTTTCTTGACATCTAAATCATACTTCTCCAAATCTAACAAGTGTTTTATAAAACAATTTCATTGCTTAGTCCTTATAGGACTCTAGTGGGGGTACACAAAGAGGTGAAAGTGACTTGCTGAAGGTCACATAGCAAGTTAGTGGCTGAGGCTGGATTAAAACTCAGGCCCTGGGGGCTCTGAGGTATGAATTTGTCCCAGAGCACATGCTGTACATCTTTATGATGGTGAAATTAAATCTGAAGTTTTTGGAAACTACATTTTGGAATAATTAAAAGAGGAGGGTGGTGGGGTAGAAAAGAGTATTGTATTTTTTCCCTTAACCATTTAGTGTCCCAAGCCAGGAAACATACCTCTTTCTCAGCCTTTATAAGGTAGTACAGAACCATAAACAAAGGGTCCACTGGCGTTACAAGTAAAAGGCGACCATCTGCAGATTGAAAGGGGGAAAAAGAAATTCAACACTTTGAATTGCCAACTCTATTATCTTAATCTTCAAGGTCAAAACGAGTCACTAAAGGATATATTTAAAATCTTTCACATTAAGAAGAAGTTCATAAATAAGGCAGTGACTGTGTATGATTCTGAACAGGCAACACATGGCATAAAAAGTCTGGACCCCCTCAAAAAAAAATGTCTCTTCTGTGTGTGTGAAAAAAAAATCCAAGCCTATTCTACTGCATCTCCCCCTCAAGCACCCTAAACTCATGAAAATGCTGCAGCAAAGAGAATGAAACTACACAGAATTCATCTACTGTTCCATGGGTGGAGTCTTGGGTGCCAGCACATCAGTGGAAATGTATCAGGATGGAAGACCCTGGGGTTCTTAACTGTCTTTGTATCCTGGACCCCTCTGGCAGGCAGATGAAACCTATGGATCCCTTCTTAGAATTATATTTTCAAATGCACAAAATAAAATACATAGGATTAAAAAGGAAATTAATTATATTGAAATATAGTTACTCTTTTTTTAAAGTTCCCAAACCTTTCTAATAAAGAAAAGAAAAATATATGTAGATACTGCATATACACACATATGGACCAATGTGCACACACATGTTTATATGCACATGGATGTATGTATCTACATAGTACACTCTACATATACATGTGTTTATATAACTTATCTATAAATATATGTGCATGTATGTATGCATGCATGTATAAGTATACACACATATACATAGGTTACCCCAAAAGTCTCAATGAAATTTTAAACTTCACTAAAACTTCTGGGACACCCTGTAAGGGGGGGGGGGGACACGTGTGTGTGTGTGTGTGTGTGTGTGTGTGTGTGTGTGTGTGTGTGTGTGTGCATGTGTGTGTGTATCCATTTTACAGTAAGCAAGAAACTTAAGGAAAGATTTCATACTTTGGCACTGCCTGCCTGATTATTCAAAAAAATCTGGAAAAACAGCTTATAAAAATAACCTTATCAGGAGCACTAAGTTTATTTTACATATGGCATCTGCTATATTCAAAAATTAGGAACAGGTTTTCCAGCCTGAAAACAAAATCCAGGTGGCCAGTCCTCAGAACAGCTATTTCTTCAGGGGAAAGAAAGAAAAAGAAAGAAGAAAAAGAGGAAAGAAGGAAGAAGGAAGGAAGGAAGGAAGGAAGGAAGGAAGGAAGGAAGGAAGGAAGGAAGGAAGGAAGGAAGGAAGGGAGGGAGAGAGAGAGAGAGGCAGGCTTGAAACATAAGTAGTGCAGTCCAAATGATGTCTTTGTCATTTCAGTTGTGTCTGACTCTTCAAGACCCCATTTGGGGTTTTCTTGGCAAAGATACTGATTGGAATGCTTTGCCATTTCCTTCTCCAAACCATTCTATAGATGAGGAAACTGAGGCAAGCAAGATCAAGGCACTTGCCCAGGGTCACATAGCTATTAAGTCTTTCTGACTCTAGGCTAGGAGTTCTGTCTATTGTATCACCTAGTTGCCTTCCAAATAACACCTCCTATTTTTTGAGCCTGTCTAGTTTCATTCTGGATATCAATGTCTCTTCCCGACAAAATTCAGCCAGAGGTAGCTGTTATCTGAAGTCAGCTCCCAAATGTGTGACTGAATGAACCACATTCCACGAAGCATCGGTCACCACAGGATGCTTCTTCGTCCTGTTTCATAGAGACAAAACTATTCTCACGCTCAGAAGCAAACCACCAGGATTTTACTGACTCCATGCAACTTTGAATCTCATCTTCTACTGAACTACAGAGTGAGTGAAGGAAGGGATGAGACCCTCAATGGACCACCAGGAATCAAATGCCCTCTTATCATAGCTCTAGAACACAGCCTCTTAACCAACATGCCCAGGGGTCCATGACTTCAGGTAGGAAAAAAAAATACATCTTTATTTCAAGATAACAATGGCTTCCTTTGCAATTCTAAGTATTTCATTTTATATATTTAAAATATTATTTTTAGAAAGGGATATTGTTATTCTAGGATAATATTATTCTGCCAGAGGGGGTCCATGACACACATACAAACAGTTAAAAAGCTCTGCTCTAGAAAGAAGTCAAGATCTTAAGATCTTCGATTCAGAGCAGAAATCCACTGAGTCTGACACTCATTTCATGGATGACAAAACTGAGACACAGAGAGATAACTTACTTACCCAGGGTCCCAAAGCTAGTAAGTGTATGAGGTGGGATTTGAACCCAGGCTTTGCTAACTCTCAGTCCAGTGCTCTCTCTCTACTAGGCCATGATGACTCCTGAGACCCCATCTTTCTTACTAATAAGTTGAAAGTACTACAGGCAGGCAAGAAGAACAGAAGGCTGTTAAGTGAGTAGAGAAAAATACTCTCTGATAAGAATGAAGAGATACACAAGAAGATGAACAGGCACACAAGCTGACTTCTTAAACACCAAAATTTACTTCTTAAATTATTCTGCCTCTTCTCCTCACTCTCTACCCCCTTCCCCTGATCAGAGAAATGCAACTTAAAACAACTCTGAGGTACCACTTGACATCTATCAGAAATGACAACCGCTAGAGGGGATAAGGAAAAATAGGTACACTAATACACTGTTGGTGGAGTTGTGAACCGATTCAACCATTCTGGAAAACAATCTAGAACTATGCCCAAAGGGCTATAAAACTGTGCATACTCTTTGAGCCAACAATACCACTACTAGGTTTGTATACCAAAGAGATCAAAGATAAAGGAAAAGAAAAAAATGTATACAAATATTTATACACATTTTACATACACATACACCACTTTTTGTGGTGGCAAAGAATTGTAAATTGAGGGGACGCTCACCATTGGGGGAATGGAACAAGCTATGGCATACGACTGTGATGGAGTACCATCGTGCTATAAGAAATGATGATGCGGTTGGTTTCAAGAAAAAAAAGAAAACATGGCAAGACCTAGATGAATGGATGCAAAGTGAAGTGAGAAGAACTGGGAGATCATTGTGCACTATAACAGCAATGTTTTAACGATGATCAACTGTGAAAGACTTGGCTACTGTGATCAATACAATGATCCAAGACAATTCGAAAGGACTTATGATGCAAAAATGCTATTCACCTCCAGAGAGAACTAATGAACTCTTAGTGTAAATTATATACTTTTCCCTCTCTCACTTTTTTTTTGTGATACGGCTAATTTGGAAATATGTTATGCATGATTTCACATGTATAATTGATATAATTTTGCTTGTCTTTACAGTGGGTGGAAGGGAAAGAGAATTTGGAACTCAAAATTTAAAAAGACTGTTAAAAATCAATAATAATTTTTTTTAAGTTAAAAAAGACTGATCTATCACACCAAGTAAGGGTGAGTTTTATCTCTTCCTCTCCCTACATGCCCTACTTCCCTCACCCTGACCCTCAGGAGTTGCTCAGTATTTCTTAAATACAGGTTCTGAAGGAAAGTCGGTTACTAAATCATAGATACTCCTGAGAGTGAGAGAGACTAAACATGTTTCCATGAACACAATGGTGTGTATTCATGCTACTCAGATAAGCTATACTTCTGACCAAATGACAGCAAAATTCTAGCTTCAAAAGGCAGTTAAAATATATAGATATTAGTCAAAACATGTTCAATCTTCTGTCTCCTTTTCCTATAAAGCAAGCTAACTGATGAACAAGTGAGGCTATGCATTAGCCAGACTCTTCCACAGCTGTACATTCAAATGAAGAAGTAATGTAACCTTAGATTCTTAGAGTGAAGGAGAGATATGTACCATATAACTCACCGTGTTGAACTGTCTGACCTATAAACCAAGAATGGAACTCTTCATGGAAAGCTTTTACTTCAAACAGCTGTTGCGCATTGGTATCGAACAAGTAAAGGGCTGCTTCCCCTGTTAAAAGAAATCTGTTTTGTATTTATAAGTTTTCACAAAAATCAAGACTGCCCAATGGTTCTGAGGAATTTCTAATATGTACATCAACATACATAGATACCTTCTCTATAAACTGTAACTCCAAAGAAAGCTTATAGCTATTGTATACAGATGCTTGTTTTCCAGCTCTGTAAGCCCCACTGAACTTCAACCAATAAATAAAAAGTGTGAATAATTTATCTTAACTGCTACAAGGCCTTTGATTCAAACCTACATTGGATCAGGAGGGACATTCTACTTCTAATCTAAACGAGAGTGTAATGGGAGGGCCTGACGAGGTACAGCTGGAGCCCAGGTCACAGGTCTCAGATGCAGCTTGCAGCTAGGCTCGAACATAGACAAAGCCTGCAGACCCCATGGGTCTGACTCGTGCATTAAAAGGCAAATGCCTTGGGATCTTTTTCCTGAGGCCCCAAACAGGTTTAGTCTTCATTTCAGCCAATTTTAGCATTGTGGGCTTCTTTAATAAGGGGGGAAGAGGACAGGAGAAAAAATGGACACAGTACATAGCAAGCTGTATGTTTCACATGTGAATCTGCACACTATTTCTCTAAGAGCTGCTTCAAATCCACATATGTAAAGGGCAAAAAAACCTGTTTTCTTCTGTTGCCCATGCAAATCTCAGGTAAAACTAAAATTTAAACAATATATTGACAATATTGATAGACTTTTATATATCTTCAAGCTCTAGTTTTCCACTACTATCTGCACTTTTGATGCATTTTGGGGAAACTTTAATTGCCCATGATAAAATTTCTCTCACAGGGAAGTGATAAATTTGTCTGACCAGTCACTTACTCAATTCTAAGAGTAGGACCTATGAATTCTGAAGCACGTGCTTTTACTTAGAAAGCGTACCATTTTTCCCTTTTTGTTGCTTCACAGAATTGCTGGCCACCTTTCTAACTAAATGCTATTTCAAGAAATAAAGAAAGCATCTATTGCTTCTGAATTACCATAAAATTGTCTTAAGAAACCTACATAACTTAACAGAAAAATAATACCAGACATAGAAAATGAATTTCATAAAACACCATCCTCATTCATAGTTCTCTGATAAATCACTTAAGATTAAATTAGCGTAATTTTACTACACATAATATGATTGTAAAATTTTAAGAATATTTAAGATACTAATAATACAGAAAGTGCACTGGATTTGCAATTATAATGAAATTTCCTCCATAGAATACATTTCTCTCTATCCCTACAATATGTTTTTAATTCAAGGTAGATCATCATCTACTGACAAGAAAAAAGATACTATTCTTTGGGCTGAGTAAAATAGGAAAAAGAGAGCTAAAAATGAAAATACTAAAAAACCTGGCACGTCAAGTGAAACCTTCTCTTTTCCCTTTGATTGTTTATTTTACTTTTATAGCGTAAGATGAATATGAATGAAGACTAACTTTGGATACTACCCTAAGAAAAGTTGGCCTAAGGATCCCAAAGAAAATTAATGCATTTAAAAGAAGTCAAACTTACTACTTTTTTGTGCTGCCAATATTTCTGATGAAAGAACAGTTTCACTGATTAAAATTATAAGAAGAAATCAGAATTGTTTACACTGAGTGAACTAGCTGGCGTGACCAGGAAAATCTCTGGCATGTTTCTTTCACACTGGTGTTACCATCTTAATTTTAAAGGTTATTCTCGGAAAGGAAGAAGTGAAGTCCTGCACGTACACAAACACCTACATTTTTGTTTGGGGCGGGGGGGGGAACAAAAAGCAAAAACAAAACTCAGACGATCATTTACATCGTGGAAAATAAGCCCCACACCAACACACAAGATGACTTGCCTGTACGTGGGTTATGCAGTCTTGTAAACACAGGTCCATTTTCAGTCTTTCCTGGAAGATCAGTAACAGATTCTGAAAAGGAATAATGAACTTATAAACTTAAGGGAACCATTTTATGCTGCCCATTTCACATACCTCACCTAATTTCCTGAATACAAACAACAAATTATTATGTGTAAAGTGCTTTACCAGGCGCTGGGGGTAATGCTGTCCTTGTTGAGACATTTTCAGTTGTGTCCAATTCTTTGTTACACCTTTTGGGGGTTTTCTTAGCAAAGATACTGGAGTGGTTTGCTATTTCCTTCCTCATCTCCTTACAGATGAGGAAACTAAGGCAAAAAGGGTTAAATGACTTGCCCAGGGTCACACAACTAGGAAATGTTTGAAGCCAGATTTGAACTCAGGAAGATGAGTCTTTCTGATTTGAGGCCTGGCACTCTATCCACTTTGCCACCTAGCTACACCACCGTTAAAGATAGCTCCACAGGGTGTACGATGAGCCAATCTGCAAAACACAGACTCCTTGAAAAAGAAATGCTTTTCAATTACAAGGCTGCCAAAGCTTTAGTGAGGCCAAAGAACGTATGGTGAACAAAACTAGGTGGTTTTCATCTGTCTTCCATGTTTTAAGGCACCTTTTGGGGTGCTTTTTAAAATGATGAACTAGTATCTAGGAAGGACATCTACCTCATAAGCAGTTTGGTTATTTCTATTTAGAGATGAATTGATATAGAAAAAAATTCAAAAAATTTCAGAGGGAAAAAATTTTCTCTGAGAACTACACTGGATTTTAATAAAGCTACTAAAATGGAGAGGGTGCGGGGGAAGATAGAAAAATGGTTTCTGTTCTCTTCCCCAGACTTCACTTCTCTAAATATTCCAAAAATTTGTCAAATATTATCATTTTTGACATATTGTTATATAAAATATTTATGTGTTCCTGGCATGTCTTCGGTGCTATATTTTTGTTGTTGTTCAGTCATTTCAGTTGTGTCTGACTCTTCGTGACGCCATTTGAGGTTTTCTTGGCAGAGATACTGAGTAGCTTGCCACTTCTTTCTCCAGCTCATTTTACAAATGAGGAAACTGAGGTAAACAGGATTAAGTGACTTGCCCAGGTTCACACAGCTAGCAAGTGTCTAAGGCCAGATTTGAACTCAAGAAGACAAATCTTCCTGACTCCAAGCCTGGCACTCTATCCAGTTGCCCTGCTTTGGAGCTATAGAAGCAAAAACTTTTAAATTACATATTTTTCAATTTTCTTCCACACTCATTCCCCAAAACACAAAAACAGAAGCAAACAACTCCTCTCTGCCCCCCCAAAAACTACTCATAACTACTTTGTTTTGTATTACTTCAATATTATACTTCTCAAAATTTTTAAATTCTCATGCCTGTTCTTACAGATTAGTAAAAAAAAAAACCAGCAGGAATTAGGCAAAAGCAATGTGAATTTTAGAAATTTTCTAACAGGATTCCCAACCAGACTGACCTTTCTGACTAACAAGACCCACCAATTTGGTCCAACAACCAGGATCTTCAAAAGCCATTCAGGTTGGAAGATTCCCTTCCCCTAAACTGACTTCAAAGGCCTCTCCTTCCCAGCTCTAAAATATCTCTATGATTCTCCATCCAGGTAAAATTTACTGAATGCACTGGATTAGATGCCATTATACTATGTAAGACAGAATCTTATATATTATTAAGCTCAGTACCCTCACAGTGAGGCAAGTAGCTCTCTGCACAAGGCACTGATACCTCAAATAAAGAGTGACCATTTACGAAATGATTCTTTGCTTGACTGAATGATTTAGGATGGAATTCTTTTTAATAGCAAGTGCCTCTTAGTGCACTGTAAATGCTTCAGTTTACACTCAATCTTTTCAAGATCATTTCACTGCATAACCTGCAACAGCATTTTATTTTCTTTCACAGAGCCAGACAATTTTTTGGGGGTGGGAGGGGGAATTGAGTATAGGGGAATGAGGCAGGGGGAAGGGGGTGTTTGAACCTGGATAGAGTGCCGGATCAGTCTGAATCCTGCTTCAGACATACACCAGCTGCGAGACTGTGAACAAATCTGTTCTCTCAGACTCAGTTTCCTCATCTATAACACTGGGACAAGGAACACATCTCACCTTACAAGGCTGTTGCTAGGATCAAATGGCATAGTGCAAGGGTGGGCAACCTGCAGCCTGGAGGCCACACGTGGCCCTCAAGTGCAGTCCTTTGACGGAATCCAAGCTTCACAGAACAAATCCCCTGAAGAAAAGGATTTGTTCTATAAAACTGGGACTCGGTCAAAAGGCTGAGCCCAAGGACCTAGAAGGCCACAGGTACTGCATCCCTGGCATAGTGTATGTAAGGCACTCTGCAAATACAATTTAAATGGCAGTCATCATCATTATCATCCCCATCATCCTCATCCTAAATGTAGAACTGGGATATGTTTACTGACAACCCTGGGGTTAAAGTACCTATAAACTAGAGATGAAATCTTTGATTTTTTCAAAGCAGGGCTAACCCCTGGAGCAGCTGGGAAAGGGAAAGCAAAACATTATCATATTCTCTCTCTCTCTCTCTCTCTCTCTCTCTCTCTCTCTCTCTCTCTCTCTCTCTCTCATTCTCTCTCTCATTCTCTCTCTCTCTCTCTCTCTCTCTCTCTCTCTCTCTCTCTCTCTCTCTCTCTCTCTCTCTCTCTCTCTCCCCCTCTCTCCCTCCTCTCTGTCTCTTTCTCCCTCTGTCTCTGTCTTTCTGCCCCTATGTCTCTTCCCTCTTTCCCTCTCCTTCCCCCTCTCTATTTATGTCTTCCTGTGTTTCTCTCTGTCTCTTTCTCCTATCTCTTTATCTCTTTCTGTCTCTTGTCTTCTCTTCTTTTCTATTTTTCCTCTCTTCTTACTCCCCTTCCTCTCTCCCCTCTCTCTTTAGTATGGATTGATTAAAAGCACAATTCATGTAGGAGAGACAGCATAATTAAAAGAGGCCTCCCCCCACTTCTGCCTCCAAATCTGCCTTTTGATATAAGGCCTGAGTCAGAAAAGGGAAAGCTGGTGTCCTGGACTCAGTGTGCAAAATCAGGATTTTTAAACCTTTTATCAGCAGTTTTTCTACTTCCTGAAAAATGCATTTATTGCTTAGACAAAAGTTCACCTATTTAAAAGCCTGGAGACAGACAGGGACATTCCAGAAGTAAAACAACAAGAGACACAAAACCAAAGAAATGGCAAAAACCAAACTTGCAGGCCAGCCAGGTGAGGACAAAGAACTGACTGTGGGAAAAGGCCCTTCCCTGTTTAGCTGACTCTCCCCTCTTACTGAGGCTTTCTCCTTGCCAGGTGTCCAGGGACTACAGGGGTGGGGTCCTCACTGATATAAACTAAATCTATTGCCATAAAAGTGCTCTGTCCTTCCTCAAATTACCTTGTATTTAATTGTTAATAAGCTCCATCCTCAGGGATGGGATAGTTTCATTTTTTTGGAGGGGATGGTGGTGGTTCTGTGTGGTCAACATCTTAGCATAGTGCCTTAAACACAGTGGGCACTTAATGTTTGCTGAATTTAATTTTAAAAAATGGTAACACAAAAGAGATCTTGATAAAAGATCATTTTGCAACCATCACAAAAGACACTGGGCAGAGTTTTCTTTTTAATGTTAAGAAAGAAGTAAATACTACTGTCACAATAAAGTAGAAATTAGCGTCTAGCAGCATCACATGACAAAGAGACTCAATAAAAATGGCCATTTGGCAACTCAATTTTACATCTGGGAAAATTACCTTTACTTTGTAGAAATACTTTTAAATGTTTAGAGAAGACTGTACACAAGCATGCTACTAAAAGGCTGGTGATTATAACCTTAATTTCTCCACTATCACAACAGCATCCCCCATATGAACTTTGTCCAAGTCAGAAATAAGATAAGAGCAAACAAGTTAAAGTACATAAAAATTTTTAAATCTTAAATTCCTCTTTTAACCTTGGGATATGCACTTAACTGCTTGATAAGAGTCCTGATCCCACTCACCCCTTCCCAAAATGCTGGGGGGAAGGGAGAAAAACTCTTTCTTAGGGCTTGGAGGTTAGACAAATGTCATAACAAAAGATAAAGGGAACAAAGTAAAAACGAACCAGCTGTCAAAAGAATCCTGGCAATATTTCCTGCTAAAAGACAGACATATTCATTAATCCATCCATCCCTAAGGGTATTAGCTGATGAAACTACATCCAAAAAACCACCAAAGAACTCAACACCCCCAAGAAGTACAGGGCTTGCAGTTTAACATAACCATTCTTACCAAAATCTTAAAGGACTATAAAAAATACCACTGCAGTAAGCCTCATCATTACCTTTCTTGCAGGAAAAAAAATTTAAATCAATCTATGAACATTTCATACCCTACCCCCAAATTCCTTTGTATAAGGTTGGGTGCTATGGTGTTAGCTCCTGTTACTGCCAAGGACTCCAGAGTGCCTGGGTACTCTATCACTAGCCCCAAAACCATCTGGAGCCACAGCTCTGGCCACAGCTCCTGTGATAGAATGTTTCCATCTGAAAAGTAGAACACTACTGTGGTCCAAGAGAAACAAGTGAAGCATCCCTTCTTCCTCCAACAGACATCGACAACACCCTTTTCTATCCAGTCTATCTCATCTGCTGCTCCTACCCTTCTTTCTAATACACACTGTACTACAAGCTCTGTTCTACACCAGAGGGGCCAGCCAGTATCAGTGTCTCATAGCTGAGGCTCGCCCTAAAAGGACAGTGGGTAAGTTTGGGAGAAGGAAGAATAGAGACTAGTTCCTAGCCTGAGTTGGAATGGTTAATGCATTTTCCCATAGTGATATTATTCACTACAGAGGCTGAGAGGCATCATAGAGGAAAGTGTACTGAACTTGGCATCTTCTAGGTATATTACTAGTTAAACAGACATTTGTAGGTTTGTAAGGAATAGAATCTTACTAATTGTTTCTGGGAGGGAAATGGCTCCATATTTTCATCAGTTAAAAAAAAATGGATGAACTCTTGGAAGACGATTTATTTGTCAGAAAGCAAAGAATTTTGTAAAGTACAC